GCAACATGTCCTGGCTTGGCTTTAATTTAGTCCAAGTGTGACAAAGAAAACCCGACATGTCAGGGAAAGGTGATGACAGGCTTACCATTAGCAGCAAAGATAAAAAAAATATGAAGTTTTAGCTACCCAGCAAAGCCCAAAGCAGCTTTAATGCAAGCTGTGCTAACTGCACGAGCTGCACATCAACTTCCAGACAGCTCCCAGCTGGGGAAATGCACTCGGGTTTGTCAGCTTGAATTGCAATCCCTTTCCCTGTGCTGTCCCTCTGGGCCATCCCCTGCTCTGCACTCACAAACCCCAGGGCACAAGGTTTCCAGAGCCATTTGTTCTGGAGTTGCTCATTTATATGAAAATAGATTTTCCCCAAGAGGCAGCAAATTGCCTTGACCCACAGGATTACTGGGATTTGCAGGAAAACAAGTGAGTTTTATCCCAAGCACCAGCAGGCTTCCCAAGGATGCTCAGGAACACGGTCCAGAGGGAACGCTGCCCACGTTGGCTGTGTCCATCAGATGGCATCAGCCCCACACGGGTTTTTGTTTGCTGCTGCTGGGGGAGCCAGCACTGCCCAGCTGCTGTCACCCAGGGCTGGCAGCATCCCCCGGGGCTCACGGCCACCCCGTGTCCCTGCTGTCCCCTCCAGAGAAGCCTGGCAGAGACACGAGAGGACCTTGCCCTCTGGAAAGAGCAGGATGCCACGCTCAGAGCCGAGCTGGCCAAGGTGACCACAGCACACACCGAGCTCAAGAACAGCTTCCAGGCTTTACAGAGTGAGCTCCAGGTACACCAGCTCCCGCAGGAGCCGCTTCCTCTGGAATCTGGGGTTTTGCTGATGCCGGCTTGCCCCGGATCCCTGCAAGTGTCCAAGGCTGGGCTGGACAGGGCCTGGGCAGCCTGGGCCAGCAGCAGGTGGTGTGGGGGCAGGAGGAGCCGAGCTTTAGCAGCCCCCCAGCAGAAGCAGGCTGTGACTGACAGTCTGTCTGTCTGTCTGTCTGTCTGTCCCCCGGCAGCGAGCGGATGCCCAGAGCGAGCGGCTGCGCCGGGAGCTGCGGGAGCTGCGCTCGGAGCGCTCGGAGCTGCTGCACACAGCCAGCGCCCTGCGCAGCGACAACGACTCACGGGCCACCCTCCTCCAACACCTCCAAGGTACCCCAGCCAGGAAAGGTTCCCCGGGTTTGGGCCTCCAAAACCACAGGAGGGACAAGGAAAGTGCTCCTAAAGCCACACCACACAAGGCTCCCTTCAACTACAGCCCAGCTTGCCACAGGGCTTCTGATCGCCAAAGTCCTCCATTGATATTGTCCTACAGCACCAGGTCAGACAGGGGCCAGGCACTCTAAAGTTCATCTAAACTCACACATGGCTATTTTAAAACGGAAGAGAAAGTGGGTTGTAGCTCTAATCTCATAACAGGTCTTGCATGAACAGCTTTAAAATAAACCATAAATGACTTGAACACAAGGCATGAGAGAAAAAGCTGACAAAAAACAAAAGGGCACTAAACAGCTAAAAAATCACATCCCTTCAGAGAAGAAAGTCCAGGGCAGCCAACGACATCTGCTCTACTCTGCACATGTGGAGAACAGAAAAGTATCAGCCTTGCATAAAGATACACAAAGATTTACACCAGCCTTGATTTCCTGCTATCCTCATTTCAGATAAATTGCAGAAGGAACAAGAGCAGAAGGCAACACTGGAGGCAACAGTCAGCCATTTGCAGAGTAAGTAACACAGAAATGCACAAAGTTAGAGACCTCCTTTAGTGCTGCAGACAATAATGCTGCTTTTTGTGTTCCCAGACTTGATCCACAACCAGAACAACCAACAGAAGAGCCAGGAGGTGACGGTGCAAAGGAAAGGTCAGCAAACTTTGTAACCCCCACGTAGCCCTCCCTGGACACAGGAACACTAGCCCTGGCTCTAGGAAAAGTCTGCAGTGGTTTAGAATAAAGGGTTTTTTTAGAGCTACACAGAATGAGTTGTTTTTCTAGCTAACATTAAAACATAAATGTATTTATGATGGCAAATACTTTAAAAAATAAATGGATTTCACTGCAAATTCTACTTCAGTGGCCACGCCATATTTTTTCCAAAGAAAACACATTCCAGTTTATAATTGCAATTACAGCTGTACTTGACAAAAATAAAGTAATAGAAAAGACATTTTAACTCTCCCTCCCCTCCATTTCTGGCAACCACTTAGAAATATTGTTCTTACGATGATGAACTTGTAGCTACAGCAGAGACAGGCCCGTGATAACAAACTCGGCTCCTGCGTCTTCTGCTTTGTGCATAGCACACAAATATTATCCTTAAACTGTGCTGAGTAAACAAGAGCTAAAGCCAACCCAGAGCCTGGAGCTGTTTCTCATCAGAAGCCTGACTGTTTTCTAGGCCAGGTTTTCACCACACAGACCCCACCTCTCACTCCTGCCAAGGAAAAACAAAACGCTCTCTTAGAGCACCCCGAGGAGGAGGAGGAGGGAACAGAAAGTCTGAAGGATGAGATGAAGAAAAAGACATCCCAGCTGTCAGCAAAGGAGAACGAGGTGAGGAAGTCACTCAGTTGTCGCTGGTGCAAGAGCTCCAGCAGAAACACCACACACCAAAGCTGCTGCAGGTAACCCAGCCTTGCTGTCTCCTGTGAGGATTACCTGAATTTTTATCCTCATACCACTCTCGCCTAAATCCCCACGAAGCACCTAGCCTCAAGGACAGGGCTGCAGAGCTCTCCCCTACAAACCCACTCCTGCTCTCACACACAGGAGAGCCTCAGCAGCCTCACAGGGAAAAGCCACAGCCACACTTCAAGAACCGAGCCCCTGAGCATAAAGGAAGGAGAGGAGGAAAAGAAAATGCTTGCAATAATAACAATAATAAAAGTAACAGGAAGGTTTTGCTAACAGAAGCAATGCCTGTACAACTGGGCTGCAAAAAAACCCAAACAGCCAAAGCTTTACAGCCTTTTACACAGACTTTGCCATCAAACCAGCCAACCAACAGCCCCTCAGTTCTTATAGCAGTGTTCAGCCAGCAAGGATGTATTTAAAAGGATTTATAAAAAATAATTTATAGCTTACTGTAGCAGAGCTGAGAGCCACTTGTCACACTAACCCACAGTGCTAAGGGCCCCAGCACCATCAGATATCAGCCAGGAGGGGTTTATAAAGCACACTTGCAGCAAGAGGGAACAGCAGGGGGGATGAGACACCCCACTGTCCCCACTGTGGCTCCTGAAGCCTCTGGGCACAGGCAGCTCCTTCCACAGTTGCTGCCAATGCGGAATGTCAGGGAGAGCTCCCTCGGTCTGGGTGGAAAAGGGGCCATCCCTGAGTTATGGGGTTGTGCAGCACAACCAAGGCACCTGTCCCACCTGTCCCAGCTCTCAGAGGGTTAAAAGGGCTGTCAGGAATTGCTGTCAGGGCTTGTGAAATGCAGAAGGAATTTCAGACTGAGGAGCAAACCCTGACAGGAGTCTGCATTCCACATCTTCCTGACCTGCACACTCCTGTGGCCATAAAAGTCACTATTGCTCCCTCCCCACGCGCTGTGGCTGCTGGCAGCGGAGCCAGGCAGGTGTGGGGTGGTGGCAGGATGGGCACAGCCAGGCAGGTGTGGGGTGGTGGCAGGCTGGGCACAGCCAGGCAGGTGTGGGGTGGTGGCAGGATGGGCACAGCCAGGCAGGTGTGGGGTGGTGGCAGGATGGGCACAGCCAGGCAGGTGTGGGGTGGTGGCAGGATGGGCACAG